CCCCATTTATTCAGACCTTTGAGAAGGTGAAATTTTTTCTGTTTCATGAAGGAAGAACATGTTTTCTGCACCTGGGGGGCGGGGGGGAAGTAGCTTTTCTTCCAAATACTTCAAAGCAGCTGTCAAACATCAGATTCTGTTTAATGTTGCTTTTTGTTTGGGCTTTGCATTAGGAGGTGGGAGCCCAGCTTGTTCACATATCAAATTTTCTTATTCAGCAACTGATTTTAGAACTGCTTCTTGTGATAAGAGGTGGTAGCATTATTACATAAAGAAGTCATTAATTTTAGATTTTCTGTTGTTTGTCTAGGTTTTTAGCCCGTTTCTTGGTAAAGATGGCAGCTAACAATGCAGTGCTGAACAGACTGGAGCAGAAAGGTGCAGAGGCTGATCAAGTTATTGAATACCTCAAGCAACAAGTTGCTCTGCTCAAGGAGAAAGCTAGTAAGGAATTATCTATCTTATGATCAACTTATTAGCTAGATGGTTAACATTAAATGCTCAGCAGAAAATGAGAGCATGGACAACTTCATTGGTGCTCTCAGCCTTTTAAGTGTGTTTCAAGTTCTCCAGGATAAAGCTTGTAATAATAGCACCGCTTCACTGTCTTGTGGTTTGTGGGGTTTTTTGAAGCTGCTTATTCTGAAATAGAAAAGGCATGAATGAGGAAGGATTAATGATACAAACAGATTATGGAAATTTGATAGGATGCGATTCCATTTGGGGGGGAGAAAAGGAGCCGGGAAGAATATGAGACTATGAACTTGCCTGAATGTGTTACTGCTTTTTTTACCACTATGGGATTCTCTCAAGAGTATTGTACCTTCAGCTTTGATATTTAGTGCATATTGGTATCAGTGAATTAAGGTGTTCCATATTACAAACATGTTCAAACTTTCTCTAATAGGTTTCTTGAAATATTTTTTTGTGAGTCTCTTTGGGGGACTGAGAAGCTGGTATATTAAGAGGTAACTTGAGTACCTAAGTACTGTAAAAAATGACCATATCAACAAAAAAGGATTCCAAAATATTTCTGTGATATACTCCTTGAAAGTTTCCACTTCTTTTGTGTTTGGCTGACCATGTTTTACTTTTTAAAACACAAAACCTCTGTTTGCCAAATGATGAATGCTAATTATTGAAACCTGTTGTTCTTAATATAGTGTCAACTCTAGTCTTGCAGGCATCTCTCCGAGAAGAGAAGAAGCTCCGTGTCGAAAATGCTAAACTGAAGAAAGAAATTGAAGGGCTGAAACAGGAGCTGATTCAGGCAGAAATTCGAAATGGAGGTGGGAAAAGAAGTCCTATCCTCATATAACATAGATCTAGTTAACACAAAATATGATAAAAACTATCTTAATTCTTATTGATTTTTATCTTTCTGTATGTAACTCTATTGCCTTTCTTATAAATTCTGGATTTTCCTACGTTCTGTGCCTATGACATAGGCATATGTTACTTAATTCCAAGATTTTAGTAAGCTGCAAGCCTAATGGGTACGTATGCCAAATCCTACAAAGAACCATTTCCGTGTCTGATTATGTTTTTGTACAGTGCCTTTCATAATAAGCCCCAAATTTGACTGATGACAATGACTCCTTATAATACCGTAGAAATTGCTGAATGTCTAACACTTTTTGATACTCTGAGTATTTCATCTGGCATGACTGAAAAATCCCTATGGAAAATTAAGCTATAGTTCAAAGTACAGATGGGCGGTGACTTATTAGACAATTTGTGGTAATCTAAAACTAGAAACAATGTGTTTTGAATTTTCGGTTCCATGCTTTAGTGAGACCAGCTTTTCATTGCACTGTTTTTCCTTCTTTGCACTCCTTTGTGTAGGTCTGTTCAGCTCACACTATCATTATATAATTCATATTAAAAAAGAAAGGAGAAAAAAACTAAAGTGTTTTGGGTCCAGCATGTCTTTTTTTTAAAATTATTTCCAAAGAAAGCCTTTTCTGTCCTCAACAGCTATTACTACTTTTACCCATGGTGTCAGTATTGTAAATTGGGTGAGATAGTATCCAGCATAGCAGGATGCCAGCATTCAACTCTACTGAATGTTTTACTGGTAAAACAACACATTCAGTCTTCAAAAGGACTAGCATTTTATAAATACAGAGAATTCTTTTCCCCCTTTGGGCATGAATAAACCCCTTTCATCTACTAAATCAAACCATTAGTTTATATTTCTGCATTGTCTGTTAGTCTGCAGCAATTATTGACAGGTATAGGGTATTTCACAGAATCTCTTATGCTTGAGAGAAGTCTCAAGGTGTATGTTTTTTTCCAAGATGGGAAAGGACTAGGAAATTAATATTAAGCTTGACATATCTTCTTTATTTAGCTAGTTTATCTAAAAGGTATTAAGACTAAATTCAGATCTTTTCTTTTGAAGTAAATTAGTGTATGTTAGCTTTGACAGTATCAAGTAGTTGAGCACAGAGATTAAATGGACACAGAACATGAAAAAAGCACTTGAGAAATTTTTTTGACAATCTGAGAAACAAAAAATCTTTCCACAACTAGCAAGCAAAACAGCAAGTGGTTGTTGGTACAATAAATCTCCTATTCAAATGATTTTTGAAAACTGTTTATAAGAACATAATTCATGCAAATCACTTTAGTGTTGAAGAGAGCAAGTATCAACAAACACAGTGCAGTTGTTCTGGAAAGTTAAATGTCTGAAGTGTAAAAAGAAGCATGTATGCAGAATAGAGAACTGTAGAATAGTGACACTAGAAGGATTTGTCAAACAGTAATTAATCTTAGAACATCCTATGTTGAAAGGGACCTTGAAAGATCATATAGCCTAACCTTTCTTGGGAAAGGGAGCCTAGGTGATACTGTCTAGCACACTGATGATGCTTACCCAGTACGGTGAATTAGTGAAAAATCTTAATGAGATTCTCAAAGAGCAGAGTGTAGAAGGGAGGTGATTCTTATGCTTTCATCTGGTAAGATTGATGGTGAGATGATGTCCAGAATTCTGTATCAGCAGTTTAAAAAGAAATATGAAGGTAATGTGGAGAATTTAGGGACGTGAGGAATCGACAGATCATTTTAGGGCTGTAGGTAACTTCTTAGAGTATGATTATTCAGGCTCAGTTTCTTTAGTTAATCAGAAAGAGTTGAGGAATGATCTGACTACAATATACAAATAATGTTGTATAGGAAATTACAGAATGGATGACAAGAGCCTAGTGGCTTGAAACTGAAACTAGACAAACACAAATGATAAATAAGGAGTTAGTAGCAAAGATAACTAGATGTTAAAATAAACTACGAAAAGAGGTGGTGTTTGGCTATATGTTTTGTTGTATTTAGAACTTTTTTGCATAAAAAAAAGTGTAGTCAAAGGCGTTCTTAACTCATCAGAATAATCATATATAGATTGAGTTCTGAAATGTGTTTTGTAATGCTGTGCTTCACTATTCAGCAGTTATGGTTTAGGTATTTCAAGGAACATTTTCAGTTCTCCGTACCTTTTCATTTATGTTGGAAACTTAAAGTGTCATAGTATTCAAAGTTCTGGTACTCCTTTTAACTTTTGTGCTTTTGATTTTAGTGAAACAGATAGCAGTTCCTCCTGCTGCAACCATTTCTACAGCCTCGTTTTCAGATAATGTTCCACAACCTACAGAAGTCGATTTGTCTCCTGATGCCAAAGATAATATTAAAGGTGAAGATGAAGAAAAGAAAAAGAAGGAAAAAGCAGAAAAAAAAGGTACTTCAGTTTCTTAACTGTCTATCACAGCTAAGGCATTTAATTTATACAAGTGTTTTTATGTCATTTTGGGCACAGAAAAAAACAGTTTGTACAGCCACAGTAGGAAGAGTCATGTGCTAGCTCTTAAATCTTGGGAAGTACTTGAAGCTAACGAAGGCCATCAAGTAACCTGCAGATTCTTACTTAAATGAGATGCATGACAAATTTCTTTTAATGTGACTGAACTGCCTTATTGAAAACAAACAAACAAAAAACCCCAAGCCACCAAAAACCTCACAACAGAAAAATGCAAAATACACACACACAAAAAAGAGCAGGGGGGGAGTTTGGGGTGAGCGAGGAAGAGGAGGTCATGAAATCTACATTGTCAAACTGGGTAGCTTTCTGTTCTGAGGCTTAGTCAGATTTTTTTTTTCCTCCCCCCGCCTTAGAAACAGTGCAAGCAATAGGCAAAGACCAGCTCAGCAAAATACCTTGCAAGCAATAGTAGCATAACATAATACTAAAGGAAGAATGATAAATTACAGTTTTCTGCATCCTCTAAGCAAGCTGCTTGGGTTTGGGTTTGGTTTTTTTTCTGGGAAAATTCTTGCAGGCAGTGAAATTCCATCAGAATTGATCAGATGCATCCATGTCAACACTGGTGAAATTGTGTGGCTAAGAGGAAGTACTGGGTAAAGGACATAAGCAGATAGCATAATCTGGTTTTGGCAACAGGGAGGAAATGTAGGAGAGGGGTATGCAGGTTTCCTAACCCCTTTACTCCTGTTTCTCTTTTTTAGCTGTCTGTATTGGCTTCTGTTTAACGAACTCTCTTAATAGAAGAAAAGACGTGTCTGTTACACTTGCACAAAAGTAAAGGTGTTGATCCTGTAACTTAAGCTCACATTTTACAATCATTGTCTTATGCAAATTATTATTAATTTGCTATTAATTGATTTTTACAGCTTTTCAGAGTTTGAATATTATGCCGATAGGATGCTCCATCTCTTTGATTTTTCTGGTGAGCTGTGCTCAGGCTTAGAAGCTACCAACTAGCTTACAATTAGATTAATGAAACCTAGTCATAAACACTAGAGCTTTTCATTCATCGTATATGAACTGAAGTATTTTTTAAGAGCTATTGCTTGTGTTAAAAAATACTGCCTTTTTATTATTGAATGTATTTAATTTCAACCCTGTACTTAGACCAATGATAAATCAATCAAATTATGTGCTGTGTCCACTTTTCCTCTTTTGTTCCCTAAAGAAAGTTTTAGTTTACATTAATATGTAAGCTATCTTGGATGAAAGAATAACAAAACATGCTTATTTCTTAAGTAAGCACTTCTTAGACATTTCTTAATCCCCCAGAGATTATAGTTGTTAAACAAATCTTCAGTGTGTTTTAAACAGGACTGTTATATACTAACTGGATGTAAGTTGCTCATCTCAAAAGGAATATCTAAATAAGCAGCTGAGTGTGGGGAGTGTTGCTTCACTGCTGTTTATACTATAGAGTATGTGTGGGTGGTGATAAACCCTTGCATTGCCATGGGATAAAGACTCCGCATCAGTGGAACCTCGTAAACCATGAGCAGAGCGTGTATGTCTCTTACATACATGTTAGCTACACTTAAAGTTCAGGATGACTTCACCTTACAAACAAGAAAATACCTCTATCTGAAGGTGGTAATTTCTTTTACTGACAATCTAAAATGGAGTATATATGATGATTCTCCACTGGAAACTAGTAATAGAGGCGCTAACTCTTTACGCTTCATTTGTGTTTCACACTGGGTTTATACTTATTTCTGAGATTGTAAGCTCACTTTTCAGTTGTAATAGTCATACACATTATTTATGCTTTTTTAATGTTTATTTCATGAACTAAACTTTTTTTAATAGGTGAAAAGAAGGAAAAGAAACAGCAGCCAGCTGCTGGAAATAGTGATGCAAAACCTGTAGATGTTTCTCGTCTGGATCTTCGTGTTGGCTGCATTATTACTGCCGAAAAGCATCCGGATGCAGACGCTCTGTATGTTGAAGAAGTGGATGTTGGTGAAGCAAGCCCAAGGACTGTTGTCAGCGGTTTAGTGAAACATGTTCCTCTGGATCAGGTATTGACAAATTTTTTTTTACTGATAACTTTTCCTTTCCTACAGCATCTTAAGACCTTCATCTGTTTATGGGATATGTTTTCATTCTGCTAAAAGATTTTTACAGTCATGAAAATAAAAATAAAATGCAAATCCAAGTAATGCCTGCCAGAAAATGGAGAAGTACCCTTACTCCAGATCAGTTCCTTTCTGCTTCCAGTGCTTCTATCCTGGGATCATATTCTGACTCCTCTGTGATGCCATTGGTACACATTGGACTCCTAAACCAAACAGATGTGACTCTCCCTTTAGGTTTCTTGGTATGTAGTAGAGAACCCCTAATAACTTTTTTGCTATCATCCAGACTTTTGAAACCTTTGTCTTCCAACTCTTTATACTGTGTTGAAGTGTTTGGCATGGAGTAAAGCAAAGAATATGCAAATTTAACTTAGCTGGCAGTGAGTAGCTTAAACAACAATGGAATACAAAATGCATCTTTTTACTTCCTTTTCAGGACTAGAGTCTGCCTCTATGCTTTTTTAGTTGATACACTTCTGTTTGATGTGCATGGTTTATGTATGTCTTGAGAACAACTTGAGATTTCAAGATTATATTTTCCTTTCACACCTTTTTTTAGAGGGTTAGTGGAAAGGAGGAATTGACTAAAGGCTGCTTCTAAATTCATATGCAAGCTTGGCAATTAAAGCAATGTTGTACAGAGCAACTGCAAAATGGGTCATGAAGGAATTGATCCTAGTGTGGAAAAGCTACATTTTCTCAAATGCCTTTTCAATCCCTATTCACACTCTGTCCTTATGGTAAGATTGCAAATGCAGGAGGCAATTCAAATTATGATTGTTGTTTTTATGATACAGAAAGTTGAAACTGGAAAACAGACTGAATACAATAACTATTCTGCACTGATCACCTGATAGTGTTCAGTTACTGGATTTGCAGTGGGCAAAAATTCAAATTGCTCATTTTCAGCAGTCCACTCTCAAAGCATGTAGTAAAAAAGCTTTCTAAATACACTTATGAACATGAAGTGTATAGAATGCAGCAACAGAATCAGTCTTTTCTCTTTAACCTGCTTTCTGTCTAGAAAAAATAATCCAAAGTACTCATTTACAGCGAATTAGGAATCATTCTTGCATGTTCTTTGCGAACAGTTAGTTTGTGTGTCTTGTTTTGCTTTTGGCAAGTCTCTTATTAGGCAGTAAATTTTAGGGGCGAGCTTCCATCTTTTTGTGTTTTTTGAAGTGTTCAAAAATGTGAAGGCCTGGCATGTCATTACTGCCCTATACTGTAATAAATAAAAATGTATACATCAGATCAAGTGCTATCGACATAATTCACCAAAAATTCAGCTATTTGATTGCAGTGTTTGAAGCTGTAGTATTTGTGTCATCTGATTTTACTTTTCATTAGGAAGCTCACAATGTGTATCTTCAATATGCAGTACAAGTTAGTTATGGATGTGAAAACTTGCATGCCCATTTTATATGTGGTACATTGTGGTTTTGTGCACCAATGATGGTGGTGAAGCCAAGTCAGAAGTTGCATCTTCAGGTATTGTGGATAGATAGATACATGTGTCATCAGTAACAGTGATGTGGAACTGAAGCATGAGGTGGACCATGCCAGTGCTGAGTGCTCTCAGCAGCAGCTGGGGACAATTGGGGAACATTTTGGAATGTCAGCAGGA